AAGCCTTTCGAGCTAGTTTTGATAATTTGATTTTTTTTTCAAACCCAACATTTTAAATGAATATTGTTATTGCACTAATTTTTGCTAACAAATTGTTTATTTAAGTAATTTTGTTTGTGACTTTGAGATACAGTACTCATTAATCACATTTAAACTGTAATCAAATAATTAGTTTTGAATCTAAGAAAATTGAGTTCAATATTCTCACTTATATTCTTCTTTCAAGTTTCAATTACACATTTTGAAACAGGGTCAAATTAAACGAAAAGACGACAAAAGCAACTCAAATTTTTTTGCAGATTATGTGATTCCAGAGAGTAGAACAAAAGCATTAATTTTAAAGGCAAATAATAAAATGAATAAAAACATTTTTAAAACAAAATATTAAATATTGCCAAAAAATTAGAACAAACATTTATTAAACGGACATGAAATATGATATTTTTAGAATTAGAGATATTTCTATCATGTCATATGGTAACTGGATTGCACATTACATAAAACATGTCAAAAATGTTTAATACTTTAGAATTTTAAAAAATTAGTAAAATTATGAATTCGGCTATACCTGACTATATGATACCCTATACCAGCTATATGTAAATAGTCAATAATGGATAGATTTTCATTGAATTTAGTATATTGTCATTAAAGTCATTATGTATCTTATATTTCGGTATTAAAGATATTATCACCAGCACATAATACTCTCCCCACTATTGTGATGTAATCCTTTTTGAAATAAAAAACTCAAGTTGTTTTAAAATCAAAAATAATTTTTGAAATTTAATAAATAAATTCTTGAAGGGCAAAACCACAAATGAACTTCATATGGCAAAAAGATTTGTTCTTTGTTTTAACTTCAATTAGATTCTTGGCAAATATCTAAAATTGTTCACATCAAAGTAATTTACTCTAGTGTCCATGGCCATATTGTGGTGTGTAGGGTATTAAATAAATACGAAAAAACAAATTGAGTCTTAATAAATATTTGCCAAGGTTGCACGTAATTCTATGGAAATCAGTTTATGAGACAAAGTACAAATTAAAGCATAAACTTAAAAAAGTAGATCAGAAAGAAAACAAAAAAAAAAACTTCGCAAAAAAAAACAAAAGCAGTGAGAACCTAACAAATCGTCTGAGGTAAAGTACTCGAACATAAATTATTTTGCTGCTTGTTTATGTATTTAACATTAAAGTACTATTGGTTACCTTTTTCCACCGACAAACTACAATCCATTAATAGTTTTTAAAATGTCATAATATGTATTAAAGTCTTTAATTACAAGATTATGGTCAATTAAAAATGAGCAATTGCTTCGCATTCGATATATTGAAAAAATACTAGAATATTTTTATAGTAAGTATGTAATCTATTATCTACTATAATTGGAAAAAATAGCAAAAAGTTTAGTTTTTCTTTCTAGCGATTTAATTGAAAGTAATTTATTGTTGTTGGTACTATATATTTATTAGGAAATTTTGCGATATCTAAAGGAAATGTTTATTAAAAAAATTATATTTTTTAGTAAATTTGAATAACGTAGAGGAAATCTATAGGCTGATTTATAAATACTTGTATTTTGATAACAGACAGAGACTTTTAAATTGACTTAAAATGTTTAGATTACACAGGCAAAAAAATTGTTTAACCCAGAGGCTAAAATGTAGTAATTTGAAATATTGCGCTGAACCTGAAACCTCTCAAGGTTTTAGGTTTTCGTGCTCTAAAAATTGAAAAACCCCAGACTATGGACATATTTGAATTGTTATAATAGTGCAAACACATTTTAATATATAAAATCTGTAGTGTAATCTAAAATTCCTATCTATTGACCTTAATGGTTTAATCTCTGTTATATCGTCCTTCTTCGAGATATCTTAAAAATGCGATGGACGTAAAATGTATTCCATTTTTAGAACCATTCCATTCTGTACGATTTAAACCTCTATTTATACTACAGTAGGGAAAATTGCATGATTTTGTGTTGATGTTTATAACACCCAAATATGTTGGTCCTACTATGCCTATCTGTCCATCTGTGTGTCCACGTAAACATTGTGCACACGCTACCGGTCCCAATTTTTATAGAGAATTTAATCAAATTTCGTGCATACCCTTCTTTTGTCCCAAGGACAAACACTTTTTCAAATCTGACCATTATTTCACCGGTTCATTGATATCGACAAATACAGCGGTACCCGAACGACATTTTCGGTACTTATTCTAACTTTTAATTTTCTATATAAATAGTCTACTTATAGACAGTAGACTAGAACTATATATCAGATTATAGAATAGAAAATAGACTAGACTATAGAATTTACTGTTTACTATAGATTAGATCATAGAGTAGACCACTAATAGAATTAGAATAGACTATAGACTAGACTATAGAGTAGACTATAGACTAGACTATAGACTAGACTATAGACTAGACTAGACTAGACTATAGACTAGACTATAGACTAGACTATAGACTAGACTATAGACTAGACTATAGACTAGACTATAGACTAGACTATAGACTAGACTATAGACTAGACTATAGACTAGACTATAGACTAGACTATAGACTAGACTATAGACTAGACTATAGACTAGACTATAGACTAGACTATAGACTAGACTATAGACTAGACTATAGACTAGACTATAGACTAGACTATAGACTAGACTATAGACTAGACTATAGACTAGACTATAGACTAGACTATAGACTAGACTATAGACTAGACTATAGACTAGACTATAGACTAGACTATAGATTAGACTACAGATTATAGGCTAAACTATAGACCAGACTATAGACTAGACTATAGACTAGACTATAGACTAGACTATAGACTAGACTATAGACTAGACTATAGACTAGACTATAGATAGACTAGACTATAGACTAGACTATGGACTAGACTATAGACTAGACTATAGACTAGACTATAGACTAGACTATAGACTAGACTATAGACTAGACTATAGACTAGACTATAGACTAGACTATAGACTAGACTATAGACTAGACTATAGACTAGACTATAGACTAGACTATAGACTAGACTATAGACTAGACTATAGACTAGACTATAGACTAGACTATAGACTAGACTATAGACTAGACTATAGACTAGACTATAGACTAGACTATAGACTAGACTATAGACTAGACTATAGACTAGACTATAGACTAGACTATAGACTAGACTATAGACTAGACTATAGACTAGACTATAACGAACTATAGACTAGACTATAGACTAGACTATAGACTAGACTATAGACTAGACTATAGACTAGACTATAGACTAGACTATAGACTAGACCTAGACTAGACTATAGACTAGACTATAGACTAGACTATAGACTAGACTATAGACTAGACTAGCTATAGACTAGATATAGACTAGACTATAGACTAGGACTATAGACTAGACTATGACTAGACTATAGACTAGGACTATAGACTAGACTATAGACTAGACTATAGACTAGACTATAGACTAGACTATAGACTAGACTATAGACTAGACTATAGACTAGACTATAGACTAGACTATAGACTAGGACTATAGACTAGACTATAGACTAGACTATAGGACTAGACTAATAGACTAGACTATAGACAGACTATAGACTAGACTATAGACTAGACTATAGATTAGACTACAGATTATAGGCTAAACTATAGACCAGACTGTGGGCTAGACTATAGACTAAAATATAAAACAGACAATAGACTAGACTATATACTAGATTATTGAAATAGTTAGTATAATTTCAATAACTTAGTATTATTTCAATAAGAGTATTATACTCTTGTTTCTAACATTATGATTGCTTCGTACCACCTTTTTTCCATTGACATAGGATATGTTTGATGGTTTTCATTCATTAATACCTGTTACATTTACAGGTTATAAACTCGCCCGCAAATTTGAGTTTCTTAATGGGATGCTTATTCTAAAGGATAATTATCATTCTAGAGGATAATTATTTGAACTTTTTTTCTGTTCATCTACTTTGAAAAGGATTGATTTTTTTATAAATTTGTATTGGAAAATGTGAATTTTATTATAACACCATTTTTATGGAGACACAGGTTCATTTTATTTCAAAGTATTAAATATATAATGTATAAACTTTAACACGTAACAAAATAAAATTATTGATAACTTCCTAACTAACTGACAATAATAGCCAAGTGTCAAAATCTTTGCAGACTAAATGGTACCAAAACAAAATTAAATTATCAAAAATACCAAAAATATTTTTAGCAATAATAAGTCACCCCTATAAATCAAAACATTAAGAAAAACTCTCTTGATTAATACACCACAATTCACCACTGATCTTCCGCAATACAAACACAATATGAAAAACTCTTCTACAACAACGGTTACACTTGAGCAAATCACCAGAATATACAAATCCAAATATTAGCCATAAAACAATCTCAGAAGCACATGAATAACAATAATCTTATACTACAAAACTCAACTAAACAAACGAAAAGAGAATAAAAACAAAATAGTTAACAATAAACATGTAGTTTGTATTAATGTTGTTTTTTTATTTTTATACCCCCTATTAGCCATAAACAAACTACCGGCTGTTATTATGGCTTAAAGCTCTAATACTCATTTTACATGTACATTCATACTTATACTCATACTAAATGAAAAAAAAGCAAAAACAAATACATAGTTGGTTGGTGGTTGTAGAGACTTTTCTTGTGATATTTTTTAGCGTATAAAATGCAAACTTGATCTTAGAATTGTTACAGTATTCCGGGCAATTTCAAAGTGTTCAAAACGGTGCCTACGAAATACCAAAAGTATTTAATTAACAATTTTTCTAATAAAAAATATAAATAGTGCAATTTTTGTAAAGAAAATATTAATTCTGTTTTTAATTTTCAGATTTTAAAAAATAAACGAATTTCTAGCGATTTTTCTACATTCCTCAAATTACCAAAAAACAGTGCAATACTTTTTTTAAGTGTATTTTAAAAACATCATAAATCGAAAAACTAACATGTCTACCATCAGCAAAGTTATTATCCTTTTTGTAGCCTTAAGTGCCACAGCTGTTTATGCACGACCCGGTTATGCTGTGGATTATTATGTGAGTGTAAAAAACTTTAAAATAAAAAAAAATAAAAAGGACTAAATATTTTACAAGTGTAAAAAATATTAAAAAATAAAGGTTGATTTAAAGTCAAAGTTGAAAGTGATACCATCATTAAAATCAATAAAACAACAAGTTTTAAAATAATTTGAATTTTTTAACACAATGAAAAAAACTAACCAAATACGTTTCATAAGTATTCAAAATTTTATTGTGTGAAACAAAATTTACATTTGAAAAATTTTGTCCAAATTTGTTTTTTTTTTGATATAAAAAGTTACTTGATATAATTAATACGAATGAAATTACATTTAATTTTAAAATATAATAAATTAGAACTATATTTTAATAAAATCAATATCAATTCAGATCAATTGTTCAAAACTGTAATAACATACTTGAAATTAAAGTACATATCCAATTAATATTATTATTTTCCAGGATCATCCCAAATATGCTTTTAACTATGGTGTAGCAGATCATACAACTGGTGATGTTAAATCTCAGCATGAAACTCGTGATGGTGATGTAGTCAAAGGTAAATATTAAACATATTCATTTCTTACTCTTTCTGTGTTTATTAATTCAAATATTTCATTTTAGGTCAATATTCTTTAGTTGAACCTGATGGCTCCATACGTACAGTAGACTATACTGCTGATCCCATTAATGGTTTCAATGCTGTAGTAACTAAATCAGGACCCACAGTACATGCAGTAGCGAAGCCTGTAGCTATAGCTCCTAAGCCAGTGGTAGCTTATCAGCCCGTTGTTAAGCATGTGGCACCAGCACCTGTAGTAGTAGCCTCTCCAGCTCCCTATGGTAAGTTTAAGATAACATAAGTAAACTATTTCCAGGGAAGCTATAGACAGCACTTAAAAAACTCACTATTTGATACCCCCCTTAAAGTATTAAAACCCCCCTGCGAACTGTAGTTGTCAAAATGCGTCACTATCTAATGCCTCAATGCACTTTATAAAGACCCTTAAAACCTCGTCACTATTAAAAACCCCTCACCCACCAGTTTTTGGTTAAAAAAGAATACAGAAAATACTTAGCAAAGTTTATTTGCTTTTTTTGCCACAATATATGTTAATTATTCTTTTAAAGATTTTTTTTCTTAAAAAAACAACAATTAACATTTTCATACAAATGAACAGAAATAGAAACAAATTGCATTGTCTTTCTTCTTCTTTTTCATATTTATCTCTCTGTGCATTTGAAAATTTCCCACATTCACATTCAACGATGCAGGCATTGACACATATCGTATGTTGAAACTATTTCGACGTCATGCCAACTACAATAACGGTCAAATGCTTAAATTACGTCCCGATAATGAGCAGCAACAGCAGGCTGTGGGTGCTGTCTATGAGCAAGATTATAATGATTATGGCCAAGGAATAGATAGATCTGATTATCAAGGAGATTATTATTGAGTTTCGATAAAATGTTTTTTGTTTTTTTTTAAGTTTTAATAAATTTATTTACACTTTATAAAAAAAAACACCATAACGAAATTAAATTTAAATCCAAGGGTAGTGTGCTATTGATAGGCCATCAAGTCAGTAAGTTCAATATACTCTTTCTGTTTATTATTATTTATTCAAATTTTGTGGCAGTTTTAACATCAATGTTATTCATAAATTACCCCATCAAATATTGTACAACCACCGTTGAAATAGATGACAAAAGGTTGCAAAAAACATAAACTGCAAGTAATGTAGCATAGCTATAAAAAACAACAACAAAATATAACAATCATTTAGTTTTTTATGGTTATTGGAATCATTTGATTTTACAAAGATATTAAGGAAAATAAAAAAAGCAAACGTTAACAAAAACTGTTATTGCTATAAATAAGTACGAAACATAGATTTTGTTCATAAAATGATTTAGCAATTTGTTAAAGATAAAGATAAATAAATTTCAACATAATATAGAGCATTTTGGTGAAGAACTTAAAAGTATTTTATGGTGTTAGAAAAAATTAGAAAATATTGTGTACATTTGCTTAGAGAAAACAAAAGATTTAGAAAACAAGCGTATAAGATAAAATGTGCCATGATGTATTTATGTATGTATGTAATTATTTCCTTTTTTGTTTAAGAATCAAACTTTAAATATCTTTTTAGTTGAAATAATTTTCACCAACTGATGACGATTTTTTCTCCAAAAGTAGAAATATCTTTAAGGTGGTTAAATATGAAAATCCTGTTTTAAATGCATTAGGACCAACTTTTGATACATTTTTCTATATTTTTAAGAATTTATAATGATAGTTATCGTCGTAGTTCACTCAGCGCAAACAATCAAGTAAAGTGGAAAGGACTCTGTTTTGATAATCTTTATACTAAATATAAAAATTATCCATCTGTCTGATAAAGAATTTATTAAAACACGAAGTAATTTCGTATAAAAGTAATAATTCATGATTTCAAAAAGTTTAATCGTATAAACTCTCAAAATACATCTCTAAAAAGTTTAAAAAATCTAAAATAATTTAAAAAAAATCCTAGTAATTGTTATAGAAAATTTTAATTGCTTTTATAAATTATTCTTGAATATTTTAATTATATTAAAAAACAAATTAGTGTTTAACCTTTAACTCAATTTGATTTACTTTTTCAAGTTTGTAATTATTTAAATTTTAAATATGGCGTGTTAAGAATTTCTTAAAATGAAAAATTCTTACAACAAATTGGTAAAAAAAAAGCTTTTGAATTATTAAACTTATTTGAAACTATTAAAAAATTCATAGAAAATACTTCATTTAATATTTTACAATTGCGTGCTTTAAATAGCCTGATTTAAAAAAATTAACTTCAAATAATTGGAATAAATTTAATTAATATAAGTTTTTATAATGAAAAAAAAAATATAATTAAATTTATTAAACATATATATTTGCAACTCTCATGATAATTAGTGAATTAAACACTATTAAGTCATGTTTTAATTCCAATGTTTCAATTCCAATATTTTGTAAATTTTAAACATAAAAGCCAAACCAATCTGCACGACCAACATTATAAAATCCTTTCATTTTTAGAAAAGTCTTTAACAACGAAATTGCCTATAAATGAAACCACCCTAATACAACTGTTAATATTTTAAAAGTAAAGTATGAAATTAATAAATTTTTCAGCCTGTTAAATAAAAGACTTGAACCACAAACTTGTTAATTAGCAACTTTGACCCTTCTGTAATAAAATTGCAATTAATTCTCAATACATAAACAAATTTAAATAATTAAATATTAAACTATTTCAATTTCTACATAAAGCTAAAACAAAAGACTTAAGAAACATGCTGAAAAAAAACCTCAATGAAATATTTTAGTTTATCATAAGACTGAAAAACAAAACACAAGTAAATTGTTCAAATTGTAAACGATTTATAATTAACTATGAAAACTTTTCTTCAATAAAATACTCACAATTTAAAACAATTTTCAATCAACAAATAGTCACTGCAATAAATAATATGAAAAAAAAAAACTTAAAAAAAATCAGGTTAATTATATTCTAAAATACAACAAATTTTCCCACTAAAAACAACAATAAAGAAAAATAAAATCTAGTAAACAAAAAAAGCTTAAATTACACAAACACTTTGCAAGAGTTGTGAATTTGCAAGTTTTTTTTTTATTAGAAAAATTTTGTAAAAAAAAACATTATGTTACAGATGCTGTTTGTATTTCTTTTTTCTTCTATTTCTATGCAAATATTTGGTATAATTTTCTCACTAGCTTTTGTGTTCAGATTTAAGAAGAAAAAAATTAAAATCAAATAATAATGTAGATAAAACAGAAGATGCTGTATGTTAAATTTATGCAGCTTGTGATATAATTATTACGTATGCGACTTTTTCATGTAATTTTTTTTGTTAACATGCAATATATTTTTTGTAATAAATATGAGGAGTTTGTATTAAAAATATGTATCAATAGCATATAATAAAGACATTATAAAACGATTAATATGAAAACAGGTTCTGAAAACTATTGTCTATATGACTTATTCATATTTCATACAAATTTTATATTTATTTATTTGTCCATTAGAATACAATTACAAATTATATTCGTACCTAATTTAACGAGCATACGTCCGTTGTATGTAGCAGACCTGAGTCTCTGGTGGGAATTGAACCCACAACCTCTAGACTGACAGGCTAGCACTCTAGCTACTAGCCTACCAGGGCACCCTTCATACAAATTTTGTTCTATAAACCTTTAATAAATTGTTATAAATAAGACAGTAAATCTCTAAATTTAAGTTGAAGTTGTCGTAATACGATTAACTATTATATGGGAAGTAGTGTTCCTAATATAATTTTCTTCTAAATATAATATCCCAGAACAATTTAAAATCAGTTACCAGTTTTTATTTAAGACAAAACATAACTTTTATACTTTTTATGTCTAATTAATAGTACTAACTATTAATAGTATTTTATATAACATTGTCCCTTTAAGTTTGTTTCATAAAATGATTAAATAATGTCTTAATTACAGTTTACAATGTATTTTGCCTAATAAACAATACTTCTGTTTCAACACAGAGTCACAGTTATTGTAATAATGTCATCACTTTGTTAAAATTTCAACAAAAAGCCAAGATCTATTACAAAGACATCATTGTAAGTCAATGTAGGCAGTTTGTTTGCAATTAAACTAAAACAATCATTATCTTCTATTCAATAAAGTCTCTATATAGTTTTTTCTTATTGTTCGTAACATTTTCAACAACGAAATGGTTGAGTAAGTTTTCCGCCAAATTTTCCCAGCTTATTATGTTGTGCAGTAAATAACAGCAGCAATAACTACTTCTCTTTTAATTACATTACATGACTTAATTTCTGAACTATAAATTTATGTTAATACTGACTTAATACATCATCTTTACATGTTAAAAAGAAAAATTAGCAAATACTTTATTTTAATTATAACTCTAACACCTTAATTAATTCCCTCTTTACTTTCATCTCTATTTTCAGTTCAAAAACAATATATTGCTCCCATTAATTACGATTATGATGATGCTTACTACAGCAATGGCCAGTATGAGTATATTCCTCAGTACGGCTCATATGGTGGTGCTCATTATGGTGGTGCTGGTCATTATGGTGGTCATTCTCATTATGCTGGACATTATTAGAATATTTGCATCAACGAATAAGAATATTTTTTTTTATTTAAATACTAGTACAACTGTTTTGTTAATTGTAAAAAAAATAACGAAATCAAAATAATTATGAAATTTTGTTTCTATTTTCTCTATTCTATTAATTTATGTATATTATTTTTATAATTTTAATATTGGATTTTACTTTTTGTATAAATAGTTATTAAGGTGCTTAAGCCGCTATATTTTTAATTTTTTCTGTTTTTTATTATATGACAAATTTTAGTTGTTAAGTCTTAAGAAAATTTGTGTACTAATGAAAATAATTATTTTTATAATAAATTAAAATGAAATTTTTATACTAAAGACATAACTGTGATATAAATTTTTTCAAAATTCTTTCTAAATACTTTATAGACTGAACTGTCTATGAAAATGCATCGAAAAACGCGTTTTCCACTCTATGACATAAATTCTGTTTGACATTAATAAAATAGCAGATAAATCTTAATCGTATTCATAAAGTTATCAGTTGTTTATATGTGGTTAATAAAGTATATTTTTAGCGCTTATTTTATCCGCAGACGAAACTTTGGTCACTCATCCAAATTTTTTAAATAATATGTTTCTGAATGCCTGAAGTTTTCAGAAGTTTTCTCATATCTCCGTAAATAACTTAAGATAGACAATATTCTCTAGAAGATAAGATTTGATCGAAATTTTAAGAAAATACAATTTTTTAATTTCAATCTTTTCAATCGATTTCCTAGTAAAGGATTCGACAAAAACAAAAAAAAAATAAAAACTATCGATTTGAATGATCAACGATGAATATAAATATAAGTGATCGTGTTGGAAAACCGATTTTTTTAAAACTAAACACTTATTTTCACTACTAAATACTTCTATTGTTTGATAAAATATCCTGTGTTTCGTTGTGATTTCATTTGAAATTTTTAATTTTTTGTCAGTCTTATACTAAATTAAAAGAAAACTGAAAAAGAAAAACTTCTTAGTTTATTTTATTTAAGTTAGACTGAGAGACTTTTAAAAAATTATACAAATATCTTCAAATAAAAGGAGTTGACAACATTTATTGTAAGATTTGTAATTCAATAAGATTTAACATCTTTATAATTAACAGAAAATTACATTTTTCAGTAAAAATGATAACTCAAGGTTGTCTGCCACAGTAACTAGATATTACCACACAACAGCTTTCACGGAACCCACAGAATAAATAAAAATATACATACATATGTACAGAAATAATAATATTATCTTAAAAAATAATTAAATCTTCTATAAAACAATGCAAATCAAAAATATGCCATATATAATTGCAAGTAGAGTAGGCTAGGAAAGAAAAAAATTAAACAATATTCTAATAAATGTAAAAAATAAAAAATTATAGTGAAACGTGGGCTGCATAATTATTAAATTGGTGATGACACAAAAAAATTGCAAATAGTATGTATTACAACACAATTTTAAATTTGCAAAGTAATAAAAAATGCTATTAATTTACATAAAAATACTTTTTCTTAACTTCCTGCTAATTGGTAAAAATTTATGAGACCATTTCATTTTCATGGTCTGCGGTTTTTCTTCGTTGTTTTCTTATTATTATTATTTTTTTTTTCTTTAAACAAGGCAAAGAAAATAAACAACTTTGAACTCATTTTCTTATGTTATCAATTGTACAATTTATGCTTGTGCACAGTGTAGCCAGATGGATGGATTTGTCTCCAAATTGGGGATTGCATGTTTTATTTGGGGACAAATTTGTTCTGAAAGCAGCAACAACGAAATTTGGATCATTATTTCACATATAAAAGGGGAGTTATTTCATTAAAAAATAATTTCTAAAATTTTAAAATTAAAAATAATAGTAAATCTAGCAAAATTATATAATTAAAAATTCCAAATATTCAATTCTTTAACAGGGCTGAAAAATTAATGATTTTTAGTTGATATATTTTTAAATTTTTGTATTCAGTAACTTACTCTGATAAATCTTTCTGTAGAATAAATATACAAAACGCCTAATTTGACAATTAAAAAAAAAAAAAACAAAAATGCGCCATTTCTTATACCATATCTCAAAAAATATATCTCTACCATTTCAAAAAATTTGCTAACTTCAGCAAAAATTCATTCTACACCACTATAGTGGGGAGGGTATTATGCGTTTTTGCTGATGTTTGTAACACCCAAAAATATTGGTCCTATACTTACCTCAAAGTATACCAATCGGCTCAGAATCACTTTCTGAGTCGATTAAGCTATGTCCGTCTTCCTGTTCGTCTGTGTGTGTCCATGTAAACCATGTGCGCACGCTACAGAAAATTTGGCACATAATCTTTATAAATAAATAAATTTAATGTTAACCTAAATCCCTCTACCAAAATGCAAAAGAATATGCCCATATTTACCCTTGCCTCCACATAACTCCCCTTTAGAAAATATATTTTTTGTCAATAAATTGTTAAAATATTTCGGAGTTAATGTAGAAAACTAAAATGCTTTTTATTAAAAGATAAACGACATTTTTAATATACACACTTGTGTAGGGTATCATACGGTCGGCCATGCCCGACTGTACATTCTTACTTGTTTTATATGAAGTTTTTCATTAAGTCCATTTCAATCGTCCATGTTTGTGTATTGTGTAGTTAATTTTGGTAGAGATGATTGAATAAAATATACACACTGCGTCTTCTAAACAATATGTTAAGTTAGAGCTTTTGACAGTTACTAAAGCAAAAATTATTTGAAAGTTCAACATGGTTTTAAGTTTTACTTAAATTCAAAAACAAGCTTTTTATATGGAGAAATATATAAAATGTATTATATATATTTTTTAAAGCATATCTTAAGGCATGAAAAATTAATAAAATCAAAAGACTTAAGCAGCAAACTTCTTTTGACATTTACTTTCTCACTTTGTTTTTTTTAAGTTCATATTATAAAAGGTTTATAGGGTCACAAGTTTTAAGTTATATCTACATACTTAAAAAAACCATTATTACTGTTTTAAACTTTTTGCTCTTGAAAATAAACCATTCTGCTTCATATTTCAAACTGCAATTATCTATTTGCTATTATAACACCAACATTATTTATTGGTAATACCAGTAAAAATATTATAATTCTATCAGTTCCGCTTATGGATTGTAACTAATATTCAATATCAATTAAATCATTAGTTGCAAAACCCCCTTTACTAATAAATTATCATCTTTGTGACATTAATTTAACATTTAGCATGCTCTTATGGTCACAATCACTGTCTTTGTATTGATATTCATATTTTATTATTCAGAGTGTGTGATTGAAAACAAAATTCTGTAAACAGTGTTTACAGCAGTAACAGTTGTGGTTAAGTTATAATAAAAATTAAATGCATAATATATTTTTTCGTTTGTAATCAATTTCTCAGATTTTAAATATTAAATTTTAAAGATATTGGTCATTTCTTCAACGGAAATGGTGAGTTAACATTTAGATGACACCTGAATTTGTAGTAAAACAATAAGTCATCCGTTTCAATAATTTTAGCTTTATTCAAAATGAGATTAAACCTTTCTGATTGCTTCGTTAATCTGAGATTATGCTTAATCAATTGCTATAATAATTTTACCTATCCGACAAGTGTAAGCAAGATTTCAAACTTATATTTCAATTATTATTTGTGTTAATTATATAGATATTTGTGCAGTTAACAGTTAACTTATATATGCATGTATATACGTATATAAATCGCAACAGAAATAGATTATATTTTTTTATGTATTTTCTCTAATCGAAATTCTAAAGTCAAAACAATTATCTAGTTAAATTTGATTTCGAATAAAATTAATAGTCTACATTATCCACTTATTACAGATAAACCCCACTCTTTCTATAACAACAAATAGAATAATACACTCAACACATTAAATCTAAACAATGTTGCAAATCCAATCAGATTTATTTTTATTTTATTGCTTTCGTGTAAATAGATCATTATTATCAAATTTCATACTTATTTAATTCATTCAAATAAGTGTCTGTGATATGTTAAGTATAGGAGAATAACAAATAGTCATAATATTTTATTAAATAATCTATTATCTTAATTAAAAAAGCAGCAAACCGTAAGCGTAGGTTAGCGGCATAAAAAACAGTTCCCACATGTGAACTTGTGCCCAGTTATCAGAGGGATGTCTTGACAGGTTGTTGCTGTAGTTTATAAATGTGAACAATAAAAAATTCTTGTTTACAGAATTTTCAATCAGCAAATATTAAAATCTAGTTTTTTCTTAAGTTTTATGTTCAACTTAAATCACTCTCTGTAATTTCAAGCTTTATTTCCATTAATAAACACTTAATACATTATAATACCTCCTAGAAAGGAAATACGTTTGGCTACTTGGTTTAATCAACATATTCTGCCAGAGCTTTGGCTATTTTGTTCTGATTTTGTTTGCTACCATTTCATGTTGTGAACTTAAAAGCAGGTTGTTTGTTGCACTTAAAAAATAGAAGTTATACTTTCAAAGTGTGTGCAATAAACAAGGTATTAACAATAAATTAAATAATTTGTAACAATGGAATTATATTATACCTCTGATGAATTATTAATTTCAACAATTAAATATTTAATGATTATTAATTATTAAAAGAAAATTAATAAAATAATATTTTATGTAGTTTAATTAAAAGAACACTATTTTTTATATTAACATATGTATACATACATACATACATATGTACATACAAACACACATGTATATGTAAGTAATAACAATGCTTCCAGATATATATTTATTACTTTATATGTATATAGCTTAGAAATATTTTTAATTTAAAATATTACATGTAATGTTTTATTTTTAATGCATTAATTGTAGGGCATTAAAAATTCGTTATAGCTTATGTTTAACACTTTTACTAAAATTTGCATTAAATCACAATTAATTCACAATGCATTTGTTATAATTTAAATGCATTTATATGTTAATTTAGTTTTGTTTCTAATTTGAAATGTAATTTAAATACATTTTAAATATACAAATCTAAATAAATCACATGTCAGTCGACAATATTTTATAGAAGAATTTCATTTTATAAATATTTTTTTTTAATTTTTTTTTTATAAATTGAATGTCAAACAAAAAATATGTTACACATTTCAAAATTAAAAATTATAATTTATACCTACATGCAATTAACTAGTGCAAACGAGGGTAGGGAGAAAAGTTTTGGAGTAAAAAATGTAGTGGAAAATCGAGGAGGTAAATTGAGACCTTTAAAAAAACAACCAGAAAAAACTTTCTTACCGCAAGAAAATTTTGTAAACAAATCGAGTTATCAGGCAAAAATGT